GATTAAATAAAGTTAGAAAAATATTAACAGGCTCCCAGTAAAAATAACAGTGGTCATGTTTGTATTTTAGTTTAAGTGCACTCTAAATAATATCAGCCTATAGTCTATACTCAAATTATAAATTTACCCAAGCATATCAGCGGATTCCATTTTCTTGAAATACAGCTCTATAACTTGTTTACTTAGAGAAAAACGTGCACAAAAGAATACCCAAAACCCATTTACTCGAAAGGAGGCATTTTTCTAGGTTGGTTCAATAGACCAAAGAATAAATCTAATATTACCTAACAGCGAGTAATGAAGGTAATCGAATATCCAAATAATATTCAAAATGTTCAAAAAGGAAAGTGAAATATACTGGAATAGTTGAAAGTACTTGTTTTCAAACGGTGCAACTCGCATAGTCGATAAACTTGTTCATTGTTAATTAATTCTTCAGGTATACAAATTCACATTAGTTAAAGCTCCTCTAATGGCGTCTCACATAAAGGTTGATCATCAGTAAGACTGGTTAAAAAGAACTCATAAAACGTTGAATATTAATCTATATCGAGTTGAGTTACAGTTTCTCAATTTTTTCTTTTATGACCGGATCTCATGCTAATAAACATTCGACTTCGAAACTCTGGGAAACAAGCGAAAACAAACACCAGTGGGGGGTGTAAATTGTCGAGTGTTACTAAGTTGCCGAAATGACTTCATTTAGGTAGCTATTGAAAGGCAGAAAGTACGTGACAGCTTCCTAGTTCTAGTATGAGACACCCATTATCGAACGTCGGTCTCTTGTCGAGCTCCTAATCTATTGACCACTTAGTCAGCATTCAACATTTTACGCATCAAACTACCGGCCGAAGTCAAAGGAAGATTGTTGCGCATTATCGCGGATTGATTGAAGTTATAAATCTCACCCACTGGACGCCAATTCATTGGTTTAAAGATTATATGCTCCCTGTGTGACTTGGTCTCGATTCTTAGTGGGATTCTAGATTCGTACTACTGGGATGTCTCATACTAGTATGAAACAGCTATCTAACACTTTATGGTTTTCAGTGGTTGTTCAACTTACGTCGGCTCGTGATTTTAGGAAAAAAGAACGCTTTGTTGTTTATAAGGTCTTTTATTTCTTGAGATGAGATGCATTCGTTTTTTTAACAAAAAACAAAGCGAGTATTATCACAGACAGGAGGTAGACGAATAAATATTTCGCATGTTCAAAAAAATTTCAATAACAAAAGGCAAACCTAATAAACGATATAGAAACACAAACTACAACCATAACATTAAATGAATTTTACAAAACTCTTACAAAAAATTTAGGTCATACAATTTGGAAAAAAGAATAAAATACTTCCAAAACAAACAGGACGGATAAAAACCAATCTGAGCTGATATGTTTAAATAAATAAGTTTGAAAATAAAAACGACCAAACAACAAAACAAAATTTGGAAGAACAAACGAGAACAAATACCATAATAATAATGATAATAATAATAAACAGGAAAGACGATTTCTATTGAATCTTTTTTAAAAGGAAAAGAAAATAACTAAAACCATAAATTTTGTTTTACTATACACACATATTAAAAATAGTTTAACCAAAACCAAAAAAATAAAGCATTTTCCTTCTCTGTTGTTAGCCTGTTTCGCACTGAGCTGTTCATTTATACTTACCTACTTACTAATTAACAGTTGTTATTTATAATTTAAAAGAGCATCGAATCATTAGATCAAAATAAGCGTCATTGTCAACAGATGCACTGAGACCAGAATAGTAATTGAAAAATTCTTCACGAGTTATCTAATTTCAAAGGGAAAAAAATGGAAGAGAGGTAACAATTATGGATAAAATCTGTGTTCAGTAGAATCTAACACAAATGTACATCAAACCAAATTATAAAAAGGATATCAAATTAATCAAATGAATCACAACACAGTAGTAGTATTAGGGATATCAAAGACAATTAGACATTAAGAAAGAATCAATTTGAGCAATAAAATTATCTCAAAACTCAGAATCTAGAAGCACACAAAAAGAGAAATCTATGTTGTATAACGTACCCAACCACTGATCGCGTTTACCGCGTGATATATCAACCAAAACAACCAATCTTGTGTCTTGGCTCACGCATCCATAACTTTTAAACTGCTTCTAACTCACTCAACAACACTTAGAAGAACTCTTGAACAGACTAGCTGCGTTAGGACCACCGGACAGCTAATCAGCACACACAGAAATTCCTTTAGATGTCATTCCACTGATGACGGAAGAAATCAGGATGGCCATCAGACAAATCAAGAGTGGGTATGTAGTAGGACCTGACAATATACAATGGACTGCTCGGAATCAATTAGAAGATTTCTACTTCGCAGATGATCTGGCCCTTCTATCCCATAAACGCAAACAAATGTAGATGGAGACAACTAGTGTAGCAGCAGCCTCCGCATCAGTAGGCCTCAACATACACAAAGGAAGAAGTAAGATCTTCGAATATAACATGTATAACACTAACCCAATCACATTTAGTGGAAAAACTCTGGAAGAGGTTAAAAGCCTAATGTATCTGGGTAGCATCATCGATGAACAAAGAAAATTGGATGCAGACGTAAAGGCGAGGATTGGCAAAGCAAGGATAGCACTCCTGCAGTTGAAGAACATATGGAACTCAAAACACTTGTCAACCAATATCAAATTCAGAATCTTCAATACGAACGTCAAGACAGCTCTACTGTACGAAGATGAAACTTAGAGAACTACCACATCCATCATCAAAAAGGTTCAAGTATTTATAAACGGTTGTCTACGCAAGATAATCAACATTCATTAGCCGAATACCATCAGAAACAGCCTACTGTGAGAGAGAACAAACCATCTTCCAGATGAAGAGAGAATTAGTAATAGATGCTGAAGGTGGGTAGCACACAAATTACGGAAATCATAAAACCACATCACGGGCAAACGACAACTTGGAATTCTGAATGGAAACAGAAATGAGGAAGTCCAAAGAATAAACTATGTTGTGAATTGGAAGCAGACAGGAAAAATGTGAATAATAACTCGAAAAAACTGGAAAGGGCTATCCAGGACAGAGTTGGATGGAGAATGCTGGTGTGCGCCCTAGGTTGCTCCACGAGGAGTAACAGGCGTAAGTAAGTAAGAAGCAAGTCTACTCTTACTTCCTTTATATGAACTATGTTCTTTTCATCTTCGTTAACAGTTTGAGGGCGCTTATGCTTTTTATTCCACTCGGGTTGTTTGGGGATAGTCTCAAACCAGAAGGTAGTTAAAGCCCAATGGAACTGGTTAGTTCATTATTTCAGTTACCTGGTCTTTTTTGGAACAACTGTCACTGACAGCTGACCTTTTTAAATCATGTTTATTGTATAAGTCTGAACAGTTGTCTCGTCCCTCTCGTTTTCACTCGCTGTCCACCATCGCTTGCTATCATTTTGTGAACACTTTTCCGGTCTTCATTTTATATTACTCTTCATTTTATCTGGAGTCTGGTGGGATAAGTTTTCAATTAATCAACTCACAGTTGTTTAAATATCACTGCCAGACTATATCTGAGTGAACACTTTCATAATCGATTACAAGCTCCTCCAGTTCCCAAGATATATTCTTGACTGTTTTATGGTTACGATAAGCTCAAGTAGCTCTTTCAGGTTTTGACTCTTCTATGCCAGGTAAGAAGCATGTTTACAGGGAAACATACGTGAGCGTGAAAAATCAGTTTATCAATCGATCATAGACTGATTATAAATATACACTGGAAAAAAAGGGTATATGAAGCTAATATGTAAAGGTTAACGCCATAGTGTATTTGCAATTATTGGTGTTACTTAAAAGCGAAATCTAGGCAACACAAAAATAAACTCAGGTTATAAATGAACAACAAATATATATCCACATAGAAAGCATTCAATTCACTCATCAATGCATAGATATATAGTTAGAATAGTAGTAATTATTATCAATTTTTAAAGCTGTTTTCTTTGCACAAATGACACCAGCTAGAGAAAAATTGAAAATCGTTCATTACCATACAAGACACCCACCAATTATTCATGGATTTTCAGCGATCTTCCGCCTGATATTAGTTAGTGATGAAAACTAACTTGATATTAAACAGCCCTCACAGATATACCAATAAAAAAAACAATCTATTCGAACTCTATAGTCTTTAAAATAATGAAACTAAATGACTGAAAACGATAAGTGATTTCTTCTTAAAATATACAAAGAACTTATTATGCTTTAAAAGTGTTGAGCATCTTGTTCTTAAACTAATTCCTTCAACTGTTTTAATATAATTTCTCTCATTAATTTTATTCTTGTGTCTTTCTGTAATCATTCTGAAGTAATGGCTACATTGTGTACTTTGATAAAACAAAGTTCCACATCTGCCTTTTCAGATCCTCCTAAACAATGCTTTATATTTTGCACATCTTTCTCTTATTTAAACTATTCGTTACAAGTTACGTAAACAATTGTAAGAAAAAGGCTAATGATTTTAACCTAAATCAAAATTAGTTCAAACTGTGTCCTATTTCGAGCAAAGCTGAATTAATATTGCAAGAGCTTAGAACTCGTTTTATTCAAAAAAATTAATTTTTATAATTTCTGTTTAATCCTACTTCTGTACAAAAGATAAATATTCCGTTCATAATAATATAAATATGAAACGCTTATTGACTTGCTAAGGAATTCTTGCACGCATATATACGTACATATTAATTTAAGATCCTAGTGTATAATGGTTTACTGAGTTATAAAGTATTTACATTTTCTGGTCGCTTGCATTACTGTCTGGCGGATGAGGTGAGACTTGAGCTTCTAACCTGTTGAACGCAAATCCATTCACTTATCTATTGAGCTGTGAATTGACTATTGTTTGTTAATAATCCCCTACTTTGTAAAGGTTATATATATATATATATATATATATATATATATATATATATATATATATATATATATATATATATATATCTGTTAAATCATCATCAACATTTGCATGGTATATAGTAGGCAATACATGTTACGTTCTACTTTTTACACACAACAAACTAAAAAATTGCCTAAAATAAGTCATATGTATACATATATACATGTATATAAATAGATACACTGAGTAAACAAACTTTGTCCAGTTTAAATTTTATAGGCTTGTCGTATCATTAAGTCGAAATAAGCATCATTGTCAATTGATGCGCTGATACCAGTGTAATAATTGAAAAATTCTTCTCTTGTCACCTGAAATATTTAAAGTTAGCGTTTTTTTTTGTTTTGCTTCATCACAATTAATATAGAAGAAAAACACTTATCTTTAGAATAATAATGGTTAACAATTATGTAAATTGTGTTAAGTAAAAATGTTAAGTAAATCAAAACTACCGAGAAATATCTATTATCCTGAGTTCAGTATTCGAAAAAGTTGAACATATATACATTCTCAAAACGTTGGCAATTAATGAGAAACAATTATCCATTTCTGCTTTCGGATATTTATTAAATTTTTAGAACTGTCATGTTATTTCTCTCAAATCAATCCTTTACCAAAATATGTCAATTTTTGTGGTTAGTAGAATTAAAACGATAATAAAATTTACCTTGGCCCTGTATAAACGCATTTTCCTTATAAGTTTTAAATTACCACTTTAAAGAATAGATTATTTACACTGAATGGTATGATATGATTAGATATGTCAAGTTTGAGGAGCTATTGTTGTTATACATTTGTGATGACAGTTGTAGTATGTAATGGCACAATTTTAAAGTGTCTCAAATCTAAAAATATGCCTGCCACAAGTATCCCATTTTTATGTTTAAAGCAAAATAAATTTTATCAAATAGCTTTTTGCATCATATTTCTGATTACTATTTAATGTTTAACTGAAACTATACACTTTTGCTGATTTCAAATATCACATCTGTAAATGTAAGATCAAAACAACTGTAGTGTTTTGAGCATTAAGGAGAGGATTCAAAAATACGACGGTGGTAACACATAAAATAAAAACAGTACAAAAATTACTGATAAGAAATACCCAGGACTTCTGTTCATAATGTAGTCAGAAAACAAAATCGTAAAATTTGAAAAAGATAACTGAATGTCAATGATATTCATGTTTATAGAAGAATAAAATTTGCTTAAAACTGCTTACAACTTCATCAGCATTGTTTTGTGGTTGAAATGTTTTTAAAAATTCAACTAAAATTTCATCTTCAGTTTTTTCTCCATTTATAAACTTTGGATGGTTTTTCACATTATACACGCCTTTTAAATCTTCAATCTGAAATAAGCAATTCAAGAAATCAGATGGTTTGTTTCGTTAACGAGGCCACTGATAGGCAACTTACATAGTAGTCAATGGTCTCAGTGAGAATGCGGTGTATTCTTGAAGATAGCTAAAGAATGATTGCACCTAAAAACCTCGACCTAACTCAATGTAGAACAATGTTTTGAGTTTTTAACTAGTGTTTAATATTGACTTAATCTAGTGTATTTAGTGACATCTAAACCCTTTCTCAAATTCGGATGTCCAGGGCTTAATAAACCGATAATTTACGAAGTTTATTACATCTACAAAAATGGTCTATTTACATTTATAAAACCTCTCCATGATTGTACATTGCACTTTTGAAGTTTTATAGATTATTCAACCGCAAGAATTAAGTAATTTAAAAAATGAATAGTTCGTAATAACATATACTTGAGAACATCGCTTGGTAAATCCACATTAAGAATTCCGTTAGCTCGAGATATTCTGGCTTTAAACCTCAAAAAAAGATTACGTTATAGAGAGAAATTGCAATAAATCAAAATATTTCATTATTGTACTATGATAGAGCTATTCGAAATTAAATATAGGCACCAAACAAGGTAGTTATTTTCTGCGGAAGCCATTATCATTTAAATACTCAGTACATAAAAAGTGTTTAATAAGAACTCATTCCTTAAGTAATACTGGGACACAGTCAAACTAAATTATTTTTAAGAGTGTTTATGATATCGTTCCTCTATGCACCTTATTACAGTAAAAACAAAGCATTTAATAAGTGTTCAAAGTAAAGTGTCTGTTTTTCCCCATCTGTTAAAACAGTATCCGATTTCTATCACTCATATCTATGAGCAAAATGTACATATTTTACTGACATAACATAAACTGTCACGTCAGAATATTTGTTTTGAAATTGTTTTAAAATTTCAGTTACTTCCATGACATCAATCGCTCACATATTACTAACTGTGGCAAAAAAAGATAAAACATCCTAATTACGATAGAAAAGTCACTGAAACTTAAAACGTATGGCTTTAAGATATGTATAAATTGTTACGATAAACGCATTTTCCATAACCTATGATATAACCTGTAGAGGCCAAATAGATTATAAGTCATGAGATCATGCTTTACTATAATGCAAGATATTGTGTTAAGTAGCATTTGGGAAATTTATGTAATTACAGAAAGCGAAATAAGGATGAAAGTGAACAAGTCTTTAGTTGTAGTATGTTAACTTTAAAAACAGCAAGTTATTCTTAATAGATAATATCACTTCGATAAAGATACCTAAGACTTTATTACGTTTTGTGAACAAAAGTACAGAATGGCTATCTGGACAAGGAATAAAAATTATTGGTGTGTTTGAGTGAGGATATAATAACTTAATAAGCTCTGTGTACTCAGCTTAAGAAGCTTTATTTATGCTACTCTATGTGCATGTATTTACCTATATATAAGATTAATAATTTGATATATTATAATTGTTTAATCCAAGTAAGGGTAACAAAAAAGTTTACTGAGATTATAATTAATACATTTCGTTAAATATACTCTCTCTCTCGAGCACCAAGAATAATAGACTAGTTTTTAGATCTGATTTAAAATTTGTTTGTGTACAAATCTCTTTGAGTAGTGGCCACTGCCTATGCAAACTTATCATAAATAAGCAATTACCGCAAAGGGTCTGACTAAGAATGGGTTTTAACTCTAGCCTTCAAAAGCATCTGGTTAAATGCACTTCCTTTCCCAATAAGCTAATAGTCTTTCCTGGGTTTTATATTTCTAAATTTCCCGACATAACTTTTCAACTGAGGTGTAAATCATGAATGAACTCGGATGTGATAATAATAACCGACTTAACTATCATCAATAAAAGTTATAACTATTTCAGTTTGAGTCCAATGATGTAGTATACTTTTGTGGGGTTGAATATGAAATATTCTGATTCCACACTTAGAAACCTTTCAAATGCTTCAGTAACTGAATCGAACCCATAATATTCACATAGGGTTAGTATAAATGACGAGTGTAATAATTCATAAAGGAAACGTACAGTTATTACACCATCTTTCGTCTTATCCATTTTCAAAAATGCTTTGTTCAGCACGTCAAGTCTACATTTGCTCATAGGAGGCTTACATTTTAACGAATAATCAAATCTTACTCTTAAAGACATTAGAAACTCATCAAAATCAACAAATCCACTCTGATCTGTGTCGATTTCATCAAAAATTTCTTTAATTTCATCTTTGGACAAATCCACACCGAAGTCTTTGCACCCCTTCAAAAATTCCTTGAAATCAAGTTTTTTGTTTCCATCATCGTCAATAATTCGAAATTGTCTATTTTCAAAAGAACATTAAAAGCCAACAATATTTATTTATTTACCTTCCTATACCAGCTATCCCGGATGCACCACGTAAAAGACACTGGTATCTGAGCTTTTCAATCGGCTTAAGATCCTTTGCCAGCTGCTTCCTTGCTTTTTCTTGCAACAACTTGTCACTTCTCTCTGTTTCCATTATGGTAAGCAAGACGCTAGTACAAAAGCGAGCATCGATACGAACCAGTTAATTTAACTAGTTAAACAAATTTCCAGTGATTTGACAATTGTCTGACTTAACAGATTTTCAAAAAAAACCAAAGTCTAGAAACATCATTTAAATAAAACTGTGACTTAAACATCTGAGATATGATAATATCTTCGGATTTCTAGTGAAGAATGAAAAACCTAGTTATAATGAGAGATGTATAGCTGCCACAGATATTCAGTGTTCCACAAAGCAGTTTTCCGTAATAAATTTTAAATAAAATTTCCCGAACTCGGCTAGACCAATGTCAGGCATGAATGAGCTCGATTATATATCTGGAAGATGGTCATGTGTCGAGAATTATGAAGGGCCATTGAAATGTCATTGAGCCCTAGCCAAATCATCCGACAGTCGGTTTACTGAATAACAAACAGTTCATCGATCCCCATCTAGATCAAGCATAAACAGCATGCACTAGTTAATTACACGCAATGGACTAACCCATGAAGTGGTGGTCATCACTCTAACTAATGTATTTATGTAGTAACATCCTTTGTGTTAAACGGTCTTCAAAGCAGCAATAGAACAACAAAGGGGTACACCACGTTAGGTGTTAACCTTGGGGTAAGACTCCGAAGTCGACTGTTGATCACAAAATTTCCATCTACTCCGAGTAGGCCCAATCATTTGACAAAAATCATAAATCTAAGAAATGAGCAGCATGGTTTAACCATGAGCAATCTGGTGAGGATGCTTGATTACGCGTCTTCAGTTAGAATGTGCCCAGTAATAAATCTCGCCATACCGTGTTAATCTTTGGTTTTTCCTCATTTCCAGATGTCCCGAAAATGAACATAATATAAATGTGAGTGCAAGTAAAAATTCACTTGTGCTTACGCAAGGGAGATTCGTAAAAATACTGTTATTCGGTATACATGCACTTGAATTCTATTATCCAATTACAACACTTCAGGAATTTTAAAAATTTATATTGTATTCAGTTTATTTCCACACACGTTGTCTTACATAAAAATTGTATTATTCGGGGGTTATATTATTTCCAGACCTTCAAGTTTGTTATCGTACTGACGTTTTAAATTACATTGACTGGTGTGTCACTTCATTTACTTAAGGAATAACACATTCAGAAATACACATTAATACAAAAGAAAGATTACATAAATTGACTCATAATACTTCAATTATGAGCATCTACTTGAATTAACAGCTTTCACCTGTACTGTTAGTGACTATCTGATATTTCCTCATCTAAAGATGCCAAGAATAGTAGGGATTTGGCAATGCTTTTGTCTGTGACACCTTTCGAATCGAAAGACCCAGTTTCAGCCACACCAAAACTTAGGAATTGATATGTTCGAAGGTGTATTTGGAGGTTTGCTGAGAAGTGTTTGATCTAAGCTGGCTAGTCGTTGCAAGGTATGTGTGAAGTGAACGTGTTGTGTCATTGATCATAACTACACAATCCTCGAAGCTCAATATGATTGCTAGGTTTGAAGCTATCACGAGTTCACTTAATCTGTGGACGAGAAACAAGACTCAGTTATCAAAGACCAGTAAGCTAGCTATTGACGCCTTCCAGCACCGCTATTTAGACGGAGAAGTCCAAGCTTGGAATAAGAATTATATACTGCAACAGCCAGAAAACGAGAGATCACACAAACACAATTTAAAAACGTATATTACTTACTTTCTTACGCCTATTACTCCTCGCGAAGGAACATAGGCCAATCACCAGCATTCTCCATCCAACCCTGTCCTGGGCAATCCTTTCCAGCTCTTTCCAATTCTTATTCATCCCTATCATATCCGCTTCTATTTCCCGACGTAATGTGTTCTTCGGCCTTCCTCTTTTCCGCTTCTCTTCGGGATTTCAAGTTAGCGCTTGCCTCGTAATGCAGTTTGATGATTTCCTCAATGTATTTCCTATCCATTTCCATCGTCTTTTCCTAATTTCCTCTTCAGCTGGAAGCTGGTTGGTTCTCTTCTACAAAAGGCTGTTGCTGATGATATCCGGCCAATCGATGTTGACTATCTTGCGTAGACAGCTTTTGATAAATACTTGTACCTTCTTGATGGTGGTTATTGTAGTTCTCCAAGTTTCAGCTGCATACAGTAGGACTGTCTTGACGTTCGCATTGAAGATTGTGACTTTGGTATTGGTTGACAGTTGTTTTGAGTTCCATATGTTCTTCAACTGTAGGAATGCCGTCCTTGTCTTGCCAATCCTCGCCTTTACGTCTACATAGGATCCTCCTTGTTTATCGACGATGCTTCCCAGGTACGTGAAGGATTCCACACCTTCCAGAGTTTCGCCATCAAATGCGATCGGATTGCTGTTCTCCATGTTGTATTTGAGGACCTTGGTTTTCCCATTGTATATGTTGAGGCCTACTGATGCAGAGACTGCTGCTACGCCGACTGTCTTTATCTGCGTTTGTTCGTGCGTATGCGATAGGAGGGCTAGGTCATCTGCGAAGTCCAAATCGTCTAATTGGTTCTGAGCTGTCCATTGTGTGCCGTGTTTTCTCTCAGATGTAGAGGTTTTCATAATCCAGTCGAGTACTAGAAGAAAGAGGAAGGGAGAGAGTAGACAGCCTTGTCTGACTCTGGTCCTTACTTGGAATGCATCTGTCAGCTGTCCTCCATGCACCACGTTGCACTGTACTCCATCGTATGAATTCCGGATAATATTGACAATCTTCTCAGAAACTCCGTAGTGTCGAAGAATTTTCCATAACGTTCTCCTATCTACACTGTCAAATGCCTTTTCATAATCAATGAAGTTGATGTACAGTGACGAGTTCCACTCAATTGATTGTTCGACGATGATCCGTAGTGCCGCGACTGATCCTTACGGAATCCAGTTTGTTGATATCGAAGTCGAGCATCTACTGCGTCTTTCATCCGGTTCAGCAACACTCTGTTAAAGACAGAGTGTTAAAGACAGTAGTATAATACCTCTGTATTTTTCACACTTGCTCAGATCTCCTTTCTTTGATATCTTGATGAAGTATTCTTCTTTCCAGTCCATCGGCACTTGCTCCTCGTCACAAATCTTGGATAGAAGACGAAGCATGCTTGTGGTTACTTCGATGACTGACTTCAATGCTTCAGCTGGTATATTATCGGGTCCGGCTGCTTTCCCGCTCTTGATTTGTCTGATGGCCATTCTGATTTCTTCGGTCGTTGGTGGATTGACATCCATGGGAAGATCTGTGTGAGCTGCCTCGATGTCCGGTGGATTCATTGGAGCCGGCCTATTCAGGAGTTCCTCGAAGTGCTTTGCCAATCTGTTGCGCTGCTGCTGAATTTCAGTGATTGGCCTGCCTTCTTTGTCTTTGACCGGTCTCTCTGGTTTATTATATTTCCCTGCTAGTTTCTTCGTTGTATCGTAATGCTGTTTCATATTTCCTTCTCCTGCAGCTTTTTCCGCCGTCGTTTCTAGTTCTTCCACGTATTTCTGCTTGTCGGCTCTAATGCTCTTCTTCACTTGCTTGTTTGCTTCTATGTACTCTGCTTGTGCTTGGACTTTCTCTGCTCTTGTTCGACTGTTGTTAATTGCTGTCTTCTTGTTCTTTCTTTCTTTGATCCTGTCCAGTGTTTCTATATAGATCCATTCCTTGTGATGATGCTTCTTGGGGCCCAGAACCTCTTGACACGTTGAAGTTATCGCTTCTTTGATTCCTTTTCAGTTATCCTCCACAGTAGTTTCCTCTTCCTTCAGTAGGTCCTACAACGTTTGGAACTTGTTGTTGAGAGCTATCTTGATATCATTGATCCGTAGTGTCGCGACTGATCCTTACGGAATTCGGTTTGTTGATCTCGAAGTCGAGCATCTACTGCTTCTTTCATCTGGTTCAGCGACGTATGTGTGGAAATATTGTGCCGCTTATGACGAATTTGTTGAATGCACACAGATCTGCAAATTTTTCTTCGTTTTCGTTTCTTTCTCCCAGTTCATGTAGTCCCATGATATCTTCATATCCGGTGTTGTCTATTCCGACTTTGACGTTAGATCTCCCATCAGAATGGTGAGGTCCTTTCTTGGGCACTTCTCTATGATTGATTGCAGTCTCGCATAGAATTGATCTTTAATGTCGTCGTTGCTATCATTTGTGGGTGCATAACATTGGATAATGTTCATTGTGATCCCCTCCTTCTTTGTTTTGAATAACGCTTTGATGATTCTGGATCCGTGAGATTTCCATCCTACAAGTGCATTTCGTGATATTCTGGACAGCATTAGAGCAACTCTCTGAATGTGTGGAGCATTTTTCTCTTCGTGACCGGAGTATAGAAGCATCTCTCCCATATTTAGTCTTTGTTGTCCAGCTTGGATCCAATGGGTTTCGTTGATTCCCAGTACTGCCAAGTTGTATCTCGTCATTTCCGTTGCTATTTGACTGGTCTTACCGGTCTCCTACGTATATATACAAATTTATATAATCGATATTGCCATGGAGCTTTTAAACATTTAATCGATAAGAATAGTTTAGTTAATTAACAATGATGCGGTAAAATATACGCATAGTATTGGTCCACAAATGGATCCCAAAATTACCACTCATTATTCTTATCGTGGCATAACAATGAGATTACTGGGAAAATGCATATTCAATAATTAACACGAAAAGAGGGTTTGCAGTCATAAGGGTAGGAAGAATTTATTCAATTCAATCAAATGGCATGGCTCAGCCATGCAGATGTGGTCATTTTGTATAACTTGTATTTACTAACATTAAGTTTATTATTCTTTCTTTAGCCCAAATGTGTTTTTTAAAAACCCACAGACATTATATTGCTAATTGTTACGATGCGACATGTAAGAATAGACAATGATGTGATTTACACGTAAGATCTCATAGATTAGGTAGTCAGATGTGGTGTTTAAATGAACTAATGATTCCTTTGTACTTGTTGAATGTTCGATTTTGAATTCCAAATACAGTACATTCGTTTGTGCTTATCAAGTACTTCTTGATTCAATTGCGTTATTTCTAGCATTATTAGTTAGTACTATAATTAAAACATTTCTAATAATCACATTGGCGTCGCGATGGAGCATGTTCAAAATCT